AGGGCTGGAGCCTAGTAGGACCGCGGGCCGGGGCCCAACCCCCCACGCCTCTAAGTCCCGGCCCCTGTCCGCTCGCCTTCGGTGCGCATTCCCCCTCTACGCCAAGCAGCCGCTTCCTCTCCGCGCGCCTTCTCCCTCTTTCCCCTCTGCTTTCCCCACCCCCTGTCCGTGTCACCCCCACGGAGGCTCAGAACTAGCGCCGGGACAACACCTCTCGGGTCCTTTGTTCCCAAGCGTCCCCCGCCCAGTGGGGGACGCTCCTTGTGCTGCGCGGCTGCGGGCCCTGTGGGTGCCGTGCATGCCTATGCTTCTGCAGGGCTGCGCATATCTGTGAGTTGAGGCTCCAAGAGTTGTGTTCAAATCCAACTCTTAGCCTCAGGGGACCCTCCTCGAGCCAACCAAGGGCCGTTCCCCTCCTGGCTCAACCCTGAGATAGGGCTCCACTGGCCCCGCCGCTCCTTGCGCTCGCGCCACCCACAAATGCACAAGATGAAGGGAGCGAGGAAAGACTCGGACAAAAAGCGCTGGAAATCTTTCCCCAGCCAGGTGCACGGAACTCTAAGCTTCCGGAGGCATGGGGCTCAGACCAGCCCAGGACTGCGCTCCGGGTGGCTCTCGGCTGCTGGGGAACTAGCCTGTTTTTGTTTGAACGTTTTGTAACGATTAAGCAGATCCTCCGCGTCAGCCGGCGGAGGAGAGGCTCAAACAGGCATAAAGTGCGACCCCAAGTGGCCACTGTGCGCAAAGGCGCGCCAAGCCGCCCGGCCGGCAGTCGAAAGGCTTGGACGACGCCTCCGACCCAGCAGAGTATATAGTCTTCTTAACTAGCCCGACCCAAACCAGCCCAGAACATAGGCTGAGTGTGCACCGGAGCCCAGGACGCGTTCCCCTAGAGTTACGCAAAGGTCGTCTAATCCTGTCTTTGGACGCAGCAGCGAGTTCCGTGCTGATTGTCCCCTAGGAAACTCCGCGCCCGGCTCTGGGGACCGGTGGGTGGAGGGGCGGATGCCAATCGGCCGCTCCTTACGCGGGAAGGTCCTGGGCCGAGTTAAGCTGGTGGCGGAACGCAGAAACGCCGCAGCAAGGGGGCTCAGGGTCGTCAGAGGAGAACTCCCGGAGCGCAGACGGGAAGCCGGGGGCGCACCGCACTAGGCATACACACGGGTCTCGGGCACTGCGCACCCTCCCTACTCGGGTCCAGGATGGCCCGAAATCAGAGGTTCTTCCCGAAACCCGGGGCCGGGCGCAGAAACCGGATAAATCGCAAATTCGCTGTACCCGGAGACCCGACCCGCCTCCCGCGTCGCCTTCCGCACTTCAGCTTTGAGCGCGCGCCGCGAAAGGCAGGAGAAGCGCTCGCTGGGTGAGTGTGTCGGGGCCGCGGCCTCTGCAGGACCCGCACGACTACGCCTCGCGTAGGGGGCAGGGGGGCCTCACCGATGTGGATGCGACCAGGTTTTTTTAGTGTTAGAAGATAAAATATTTGCCTTCAATTAATCTTTAAACTATTCTCTTGCGCCCTCAGTGAGGGGAAAGTGGGATGTGGTCTTAGGCCGCCCATGTTTAATAAAAGGAATATATTTTAACTAAGACTTGAACTGAAAGGTTTGGTTCGGCGACGGCAGCTGTAATGCTGGAAGAGACCGTCGTCAACCCCCCTGCGAGAAAGCGCGCTCCCCGCAGAAACGATTAGGCTGACTCCTGGGAGCCTGGGCCGAGCCGCGGCCGGCTCCCGCCCGACGGTGGGCGCGGGGTAGGCACCCTCCCCGCCCCTGTTGCTTTCGCCCGCAGCGACAGCACTCTCGGACCCGCGGCTCCGGGAGGGAACGTTTCAAGACCATCCTGGGCTGGCCGTCTCGGGCGGGGCAGACCGCGGCTCCGCGTGAGGCGGCCCGGGCCGGACAGACGCGCTGGGCTCTCCGGGCGCCCCTGAGCCCCAGCCGGAGCGCTCTCCTTCCCGGCCGTAAAGGACCCGCGGCGCGGAGAGCGCACCTGACGCTGCGGACTCGTGCGCGCCCGCCGAAGCGCCAGGGCCAGCCTGTGCCCTCCCCTCGTCCCCTGGGTCGGCCTGACCCTGGCTGTCGAGGAATGTGCCCATCGAGAGGTTCCTTCTGGCCCAGCTCTGCAGTCCCAAACCTTCCGCGTTCCTGCCGGCGTCCTGCCGCGGGCTCCGGGTCTCTAGAACTCGGGCTTTGTCTGGGCAGGCGCCTCCTCTTTGTCCCCGTGTCTCCGTCTCTGTTGCAGTCAGTCCTATATCCTGGGCTCTGAGGGGTCTCTGTCCATCCCTAGGTCCACCTCCCCCTCCAAATCTGTTTCTTTGTTGCTCTCCGAGGCTAGCCTGTCCCTCCTCTCCCGCCTCACCCCCAAGCACCTCCACCCAAAATGCTGGAAACTGGTGGCAGAGACACTAGTTTGCTCCGGAGTGAAGGCCGCTGCAGGGCAGTGGACCTCACTGGCTGCCCTGCCCCTCTCACGGCAGCTGCCGCTGCGCTCTGCCCTATGGTCGTGGCACCCCAAACCTATGGCCAATGTTGGCGACAGCTGTCGCTGGCAGCCACCTCTCCACGCCTGGGGACTGGCGGGGATCAGAGTGCTTGGACCCCCGTCAGTGGGTATACGGCAGTACCGAGAGGACACCCCATCCCTGAATGACAAGCGGGGCGGGGCGGGGGGAGAAGGGATGGTGGGAGAAGGGGAGAGTCAAAGGGAAGAGGCCAGGAGACACAGGAGGGTGCGCGCACTCCCCAGGAGGATCGGTGGTGGCCAGAGCCCTCTACCGAAGTCTGTTGTCTCCAGCCCCCAAAGCTCGAGTTTCCAGTACTCTCCCTAAAGCGAGCCCCTCTCCCAGGTTGGGCCAGAGGCGCGGCGACCTGCGCGCACCACCTTGGCATCCTTCAGCAACAGCCGGTGAGCAAGGAGGCTGTGCGCCATCCGAGCCACCTCGGGGGACACTAGGATGGGGGCAGACGGAGGAGTTATTCCTTCAGGCAGCAAAGGGCCCACGGCCAGCGGCCAGGCTCGAGGTTTGCGGCGCCCGCCGCTCCCCTCTCCCTTGCGCAGCCGGCCCGCTAACCAGAGAGGGGCCCGCCGCCTGCTGCGCGCTCTCGGGGCGACTCCGGGCCAGCGCGGCGCTCAGGAGGCGCCTTCAGCCCCAAGGTGCCCGGGACGTCCGAGTTTCCTGAGGGCTGCAGGTGCTCAGAGTCGGAGTGGGCGTCTCTGTGCGTGCAGGGTGCTGTGAGAGGGATGCGGAAGGGGTGTGTGTGTGTGTGCGCGTGTGTGTGTTGGGTGGGAACTCAAAGCACACGGAAAGCTTCAGATTGCAGAACCCGCAACTCCCGGCCTCAGTGCTGACGGGTTGCAGGGTTGGACCATCCGGTTGGCCAAAGGGGCCCCCTGTCCCAAGGGCTCCAGGGAGTCCTACCAGAGAGGAGCCTGAGTCAGGGGGCCCCATCCCCACCACCCCCCAGGAGCGCACCTTCAGGGTTTGCATCACCCAGATGTCGCATCACCTGTCGCCTCCAGGGTCCCTGAGGTCTCTGCCCCCTTTCCCCAGGCCCAGTGAGGGT